TCCTGACGCAAATTCCTATCAACCATATACATTTTGCCATATAACTTCGTAATTTACTGGACTGCCGCAATCATACTCATACTGATTATTCTAAACATTGTATATTACCATTAGAATAGCTCAAAGTTGATGTGATGGGCTTGGGAAAAAAGATTATGCACTTTTTATGTTCGGAGTTTTAATTGATCGCGTTATGTTAAGCCTAAGCTACGTATAATGTACAGTACGGTCTCAAATATGCCTTTTAAAATACGTCAATTAATTAGTTTTAACTTGTACCCACGTTTTATCAATGTATAATTGACATTATATAAATATAAAAACATCATTTCGCACCGTATTGTCATTGATTTGTGTTTCCGACATCCCTGCAAAACACGTTTGTGGCGTCCGCAGGCGTACCAACCCACATCTATTACAAACCGAAACTTTTCCTGATGCGAGTTCCTATACTAACCATATACATTTTGCCATATAACTTCGTAATTTACTGGACTGCCGCAATCATACTCATACTGATTATTCTATACATTGTATATTAGCATTAGAATACCTCAAAGTTGATGTGATGGGCTTAGGAAAAAGATTGTGCACTTTTCCTGACGCAAATTCCTATCAACCATATAGATTTTGCCTTATAGCTTCGTAATTCACTGGACTGCCGCAATCATACTCATACTGATTATTCTATACATTGTATATTAGCATTAGAATACCTCAAAGTTGATGTGATGGGCTTAGGAAAAAGATTGTGCACTTTTCCTGATGCGAGTTCCTATCAACCTTATACATTTTGCCATATAACTTCGTAATTTACTGGACTGCCGCAATCATACTCATACTGATTATTCTAAACATTGTATATTACCATTAGAATACCTCAAAGTTGATGTGATGGGCTTAGGAAAAAGATTGTGCACTTTTCCTGACGCAAATTCCTTTAAACCATATACATTTTGCCATATAACTTCGTAATTCACTGGACTGCCGCAATCATATACTCATACTGATTATTCTATACATTGTATATTACCATTAGAATACCTCAAAGTTGATGTGATGGACTAAGGAAAAAGATTGTGCACTTTTTCCTGACGCGAGTTCCTATCAACCATATAGATTTTGCCTTATAGCTTCGTAATTCACTGGACTGCCTCAATCATATTTATACTGAGTATTCTACACATTGTGTATTACCATTAGAATAGCTCAAAGTTGATGTGATGGGCTTGGGAAAAAAGATTATGCACTTTTTATGTTCGGAGTTTTAATTGTTCGCGTTATGTTAAGCCTTAGCTACGTATAATGTACAGTACGGTCTCAAATATGCCTTTTAAAATACGTCAATTAATTAGTTTTAACTTGTATACACGTTTTATCAATGTATTATTGACATTATATAAATATAAAAACATCATTTCGCATCGTATTGTCATTGATTTGTTTTTCCGACATCCCTGCAAAACACGTTTGTGGCGTCCGCAGGCGTACCAACCCACATCTATTACAAACCGAAAAAGCGCCGATGAAAAGAGCCGCTAACTTCACGACGGTAGGGACTAAGGCTAACATATCTTGTAGTGTCAGCGTTCGCCGCTAGGACTGCTAAGTTGAAAAAATTTATATTAATTTTTAATTTTTTGTTATAAAATTAATTTTTTAATTATAAAATATTGTTTTAAAATTATAAAATAAATTTTTTATTTTTAAAATTAAACTGTCATAACATAACCTAACCAACCAGACTTGCTGATAATATAAAAACTATATAAGATAAAAATCTAAATTATAAAATTAATTTTAAAATTTAGTATTATAAAATTAAACTGTCATAACCTAACCTAACCAACCAAACTTGTTGATATGAAAAATTTGTTGACAAAAAGTTAGTGCTGCCAGCGGGTTTCGAACCCCGGACCTACTGAATACCAATCCGCAACGTTACCAACTATGCCACGAACGCCGCTGAAAACACACCGTTTCGTTACGGTAATCGTGTCGCCTCAAGAGAAGACATTAACCACTAGAGATATGACGTCACTACACCATTAGCCTTCGTCCCTTCCGTGTGCCCATTCCGGCTACCCCACGGCACTACATTATCTGGGTATTTACTCAGGGGAGGTATAGAAGAGGCTACGATGACAGCTGAGATCTTCTTATTAGCTGAGGGAACGCCATTACCGTAACAAAACGTTCAACAGCCGTCGGCCTGGGTGGTCTATTGGTTAGCGTGTCGGGCTGATATACTGTAGGTCCCGGGTTCAAATCCCGCTGGTAGCGTTAACTTTTTATCCAAGATTTTTTTATTATCAGCAAGTTTGGTTGGTTTGGTTTGGTTATTACAGTTTAATTTTATTATTAAGTCATTATAAAATTTTAATTGAGCAATTTCTAGTTTTATTTAATAAACAGAATTATTTTTCCGATTACTAAACTTTTGTTATATTATTTCTTTATCAGCAAGTTTGGTTAGTTCGGTTAGGTTATGATAGTTTAATTTTATAATTAAAAAATAGTAAAATTGAATTTGAGGCATTTATAATTTTATTTTATGAACAGAACTATTTTTGCGATTAGTAAACCTTCATTGCCAAAGTGCTCTCTACTACAGCGCTGTTCACGGAGGAATTTTGAACTAAATGCCTCATTTGTACCTCCCCTAAGTCAGACCCCATTATCTGTGTACAAGAAAGAAATGACGATTTGACAATGACATGACAGGCAGGAATGCCAATGACAATGGATAATAACAACAAAAAAAGATAAGAAGAAAAGCGCAACACTTTTTTTTCTTTTCTCTGTTTTATGAAATGGGACTGAACACGGCCGCCTTATAAAGGCCGCGGCCAGTCGCCCAATGCAAATCTAATGGAAATTACAAGTTACAAGTTGTAACTTGTAGCATAGATAAAAGGAAATCTATGCTTGTAGTTTATTATGAAATGGGCCGAAATCTAAAAAGAATACCATGCAAAATAAATAGATATATAAAACTGTAAAACATGCAGAGGAAAAAATGTAAAACTGTACAAAACAGGAAAAAAGCGCAAAACTCAAAAGCCACACTTATACATATCGCAACCACTATTAAGTAATGTAGTCAGTTTTTGTATCTAATCATTGATCATAATATTTTTAACCGATGGTTTATTAAAATGTCTAGTACTGTATATATTTTAACAGAATTTTCTATCTTTGACTCGACTTCAAATACTGCCCAGTACTTGGAATTTTGAGGAGATTATACTTGAAAATCCACTGAAAGACGTTTAAATAAGTCTTATTATTGGCTGGGACTTCAATCTGCCACGCTAACTGGCAAGACATGAAAGGCTCCTCATCTTGCTCTTGGCACAGAAAACATACTGCTTTAGTAGTATGTTTTCTGTGCTCTTGGGCAGTCAACGTGGTCGTGGTCTACAAGGTCTGCTGTCTTTTAGCGAATTTCCCCTATAGGGAATAATGCTATTACCGTAGTACTCATGGTGAGACCTGGACCCGGGACAGATTTTTTCGTTTTCAAGTCCCTAGAGGCAAAAAATACCATCCGTTCAAATATATATATATGTCCGTTAGCGCGATAACTTGAGCAAAAATGATCCGATTTTGATGAAATTTGGTACAAACATGTAAACCTATGTTTATTCGAACGAGTTCGCGAACCATCATGATCGGACTATGGGAAGTATGGGTTTTATGGGGTAAAAATTGGTTTTATCCCATTTTTGACCCTAAAAACTTAAAATTAAGAAATTTCTTTTCAAACTATTTTGTAGAGCTTAAAAACAAATAATTTAGTGTATTAACGCGTTACTAGCACCTAATGGTTACGGAGAAAATTCCAAAAATCTGTAATTTTAAAATTCCCATGTTATTCTTATGGAGAATAAGTTAACTGTTATAGTTTGCTTGTTTATGAACATATTTTGATCAAATTTGGAAAATGCATTCATTTTAACATTTTACAAAAAAACACATTTTTACCCTCCCTGTTGCAGCAAACTTAGGTACTCAAACTAATGTTATTTAAATAGGGAATAAATGTGATATTTTTAAGGAGACATTTTAGTGTAAATCCAATCAGAAATGAGCTTCTGCTTCTATGCCCTTATGGACCATGGTGGAAGGAAAATACTTAGGTGTGCTATTCCCGTCATATTCTGACGTCACTCGGATTGCAAACAAAAGATCACCTGTGGAGCCCATTTTATAATAAACTACTTGTAATTTCCATTAGATTTGCATTGGGCGATGGTTAATAATATTAGTTAGTAGTTTATTATGAAATGGGCCCCTGATTGTAACTGTCAAATTTGTATGTATTTGTTTTGATTTGATTGTTATTGTTTTTATATATTTTAAGGTATATTTAAGGCATGTTAGCACCCTCTTCTGTCAACCGAATCAAAAATCAAATCAAATCAAATATTTCTTTACAAGCTGCTATACCCGTGCTTTGCAACGGGAAGAAAACGTGACCTAGAGAGCTATTAAAGTGGTGCTGATGGGTGTTTTAAAATACAGCAACTCTATGATTTAGTTTGAAAATATAAACTGATTTAAAAGCGTAAACCTGCTTACTTCCAAACCCCTACTTTTGATGTTAATAGATATTATAACATAAGACATATTAAGAATATTATAACATACTTTAATGTAGCAATAGCATAAATTATTGCTTCATATTGATGCTTTATGAATAACATGTTTTACCATTTTCTTCAATTTTAATTAAGCCTCTTCACATGTAGATTACTATATAAATAAAAAAATGAAACTTTGAGCAATACTTTACAAAACGTATTCAACCTCACTTTAAAACCAAACATAACCCTATTCAATCTACATAAAGGTGATCTACATACATATAATTACAAGCAGACATAACTGCTTTGTACACCTAGTTCATAAGGTAGTTTCATGGGGAAAGTACTAAGCTGTCTAGTCTAGGCGGAGGAAAAGTTTCAGTTCAATTCAAAATATTATTGTGGTTCAGCGATCAGCAGGTTGTATTCGTATTGTCGTCTGCAATGTATATATAAGTAGTGGAAATTATTTAAAAACACATTTAGTTTTTGTTAGATGCTATTATTGAATAGTGTGTTTCTAGTTCCAAGTAAGTTGTACTAGATTTACATCTTAAGTACGTATAAAGCAACTAACCTTGTATGTTTTTAGATACCCGAACCCTGAATCGGATAACCTAACATGTGCTACTGTACTGCAGTAGTACTACTGCAATGCGCCAAACCTAAGTAGGGCCTAGTCTTAATGAGGGGGTTATCTACCAAATTGCTCTTACAATTTATCCAAACTACTAATTTTTAAATAAAAGTATGGGTTATTGTTTACGGAGAAATTTTCTGAAGATAATTTAAATTTGTATAGGCTAAGCCTACTGCGTACATGTACAATATGTAGGTTGCCTATGTTTAATTTCCTAAACAAACTTGCAAGTCACAGGTTAAGGCATAACATGCCTATTGAACATAATTTTCTTTAAACTCACACAAATCCATGATTAACTTTATTATAAATGGTCTAAGAACTTTAATTTTAATAATCTATAACTTAGAAAACCAACATAAGTTACCATTGGTTTAAAATGAAAACCTCATCAAAATTGAATCATAGTTAGATCTAAATTTATTTTATACAATGCCACAAAGAGATTAGGATGGTTCGCCTTTTCATGATTCGTGCCATGAATCGCCGCCTGTGCTCCTAATGGTTTGTGGGACAAGTCAAAGGAGACGAGCAAATAAGAGTTCTGAGTAGGGGCACACACGAACTAGTGGCAGTTCATACTCGTCTTCATTCCTCTTGTCTCTAAATCAGTATGCTATATGACGCAGAGTATTGCAATTAATTGTGATCAAATGAACAAACGAAGAGAAACCTGTGTTTTATTTTCTACTAACTTAAGTTAGGGCTTAACTCTTGATTTTGATATTCTATAGTTGAATTTTTATGTAACTTTACTAATGCTCATTAAGGAATGGCTTCATTATGTCAGGACTTGGTGAAAAAGCATCATCACTTGAAAAACATCTAGGGTAGCCTACGGTACATCAATGTTTGATCCAGGCAGCGGTTTTTAGTTGGGATGATTGATTTTATTTTGGTTTTTTTAATTGTTCCACAACACAATCTTTTGGAGAATCCCTCCATCACTTATTCAACCTTGGCTTTCAATATCAGCAAACATAGATTTTATAAATTGTTTTTAAATAGGCCTAGGTTAAATGCCAAAAGTACTAAGTGTTTTCTTAAGTTATAATATGTTGAACAACCCGCTAGCGTTTTTGGTGAACATGGGCAAGCCCGTACTGGGTGAGCTCATGGGTACTTGTGGTTCATGAACGGTAGTATTCGCCGTTGCAACTTAAGCCAAAAATTTGGTGAAACATTCAAACGAACATTCAGCGATAGTGTGTTGCTAGCATTAAATGTTATATTTAGGCCCTATCCAAAATTCAGAATTTTGAAATCCAAATACGTTGTCAGCTTTGTGTTACCGGTACCATCTATATAATGTGCTAAACCGATTTTTGTGAACAGAACTCCTCCCTCATTTTTAGACCGATTTTGATGATTAAAGTGTAAAAAAATGGCCCTGATCTGTAGTTTGCAAGGTGGTTTTCTTTTTTTGAAATCTTTATTAGTTTGGCCAGGATCTTCCATCAAAGTTAAGGGTTTTCTCCCCCATAAGGTTAACATGAAGGAATCTAAATATTTAATTGGATACTTAGTCACCACTATAATTTTAGAGAACGGCTGGGCTTAGAAACATGTTAGAGATGCCCAAAGAAAGGTCTTGGTCTGTAGATGAGCCACCAAAAGAAAAACAAAGTAAATTTCCTTGGGGCTCTGCCCCAGCCCCAGTAACCTTTTAAGTTCCCTCCCAAGAATTTGTTTACATTATAGCCATATGGATAGTAATTTTTCACCACTTTTTAATGAAACAGCTGTTTAAATTGTAATTTAAATTGTTTAGGCTAATTGTTAATTTAAATTGTACTAGTTAACCGCCCGTGCTCTGCCACGGGAATATTGCCAACAATAAAAGATATAATAATTAACAAATACTGTTTATCGATGTATTTTATTTAGGGGCTGCTTGATTTTTTTACATGAAGGAGAACGGTTAGTTGGTCTGTATAAACTATTTATATGTTAATCAAACCGATATATTAGTTTAACCAAATGAATGTTTTAAATTAATTCGTATTAACTTACATTAAAAAAGAAGTGTATGAACTGCGCAATTCTGGTAACCTTATAAGCTACTTATGCTATGGAGATAATTTGTTCATGTATATTCCTACATTCGTTGTTTTCTTGTTCATTACATTCGTTGGGTGGAATAAAGATATACACTTAAATCACGCATCAGCAGATGGTCGAATTTCACGGTTCTTTAACCTACTCTGTGAGTAACAGCTGTGATTACGTCGTTTAGGCTATAATACAAAGTTGGGCATACTTTGGTTCAATGTTAGAGGGTGTTAACAGTCCAATCCGATGGTAAAAGGAGTCCCGGATCTTAAAATTTTATATACTACCAGAATGATGATTCATCTAAGTGAGACTTATATGCTGGTACTCGCCATTGCAAATTCAGAGTTGTATTATCTTCCCTATTTTTCAAATAGTTTTTTGAAAGTTTTTTTGTTTCTTTTGATACTAAATACTTTATTTATAGTCTATGTAACCCCGTTAACAAGATTTTCCATCGACTCTGAATGTGTATTTTAAAAGGAGCGAATTTTACCTTTCCCTTGTGATAACATAAAGAGAATATACGTGTGTCCCTGTTTGTATGTTCTGACTCTAAATTCATAGATTTGCAGTAGTGACAATTCAAATTTAACGACCCTTATTTAAAAGAGTCGGCGTTTTTTTTAAGAAGAACTTCCAGAGCACATTTTACACTATCACTGCTATTTACTTTTTAGTTCCATTGTTCTCCATGTTTTTTTCGTCCTGGTTGTCTCTTTACGCACAGTTAATGACTTTTTACCTTTTATTTTTCTTTTTGTTCTTTTCCCACCCTGGGGATTATGATAAAGTTGTACAACACTGTAATCACCCTGAGTCAACTTTGCCTTTAAACATCAAGTCACACACTTTTTTACCAGAACCGAAGTCGTAAGTTACAGTTTCTTAAGTTAAGCAAATTCCCTGTGTAGCAAATTCCCTGTGTACTCGAATATATATAGGGTATAGTTCACTGATAAATTGTAGTTCCACATATTCAGAGTACTCGCCATCTCGAGAAGGTAAAGTTTCTTACTGCTGAAAGTTAAACATCCTTGAGTAAGATTCATCACCTACCAATATTTGTTTGTTTTCCACTCATTAGTAATTATCTGTACAACTTGCAAGTGGATTTCCCCATGATTGTTCTGGTGGAATAAATTATTTTGATCGGAAAAAGCAGTTTCCGTCCCCTACTATCGGTATTATTTCACGTTCCATACTCAAACCTAAACTCAATTAGCACTTTCCTTCAAATCTGTTCGCAGGAAAACTAATAAAAAATTTACACCAAAACATAGTGACAAAAATAATAAAATACATTTAAAATGACACATTGTGGTATAATAAGTTAACAATACACTTTTTTTTGTCCGAAACTGTGTTTTTTTAAAAACAGAAACTCCTAGATTAATAATGTCATACTGAAAGTGAGGTTATAAAAATAATAACAAATGTCTGACAAACATTAAACAGCTGACGAAAAATTTATAAACTGTATTATATTCTTCAATAAGAATTGTATTGACTCGACCTTTGAAGGGCTGTAGGTCTTAGCCCTTGGATAAAACCTAAATTCTAAGGAAGTTCGGCAAATCTACACATTATCCCCTTTAATTTGAGATATAAATCTTGTAGATTGGTCCAGTAATAGCTGAGAAAACAGACTTACAACTAACTGTGTATTAAATATATAGATTTTAAACAGACAATTATTATAGGGAGTTACTGAATTTTTCAAAAATAAGTAGACCTATTTGCAATGTTATTTTTTGGTCTTAAAATAAATTTTCTTCTGCATCATGTCATGTTTTGCAATATAACGTTCCATTACGAAATCAGTGGAAAATCAATTACACAGTACGGTAGCTCTTAAAATTATTGCTTATTGAATTATCTTATAACCATTGTACGGTTAGTGTCTGTCTTTTTGACCACTTTTGCCTATATTGTATCATATTATTCAAGACAGATCATCATAGGTTCATGAGGTTATTGTCATAATGTTTTCAAACATTGGAAAAATCTACGGTGTAATTACAAAATAATACAAGTGCAAAAGGGCACCTTGCCCATATTTACCCATATTGAGCCGTGTCCATATTTTGTTAAATCAATAGTGGTTTAAAGCAACTGGATTAAATTTTTAATATTTTTTATGTAGAAATATGTGCATGATTTAGAAAGTCATTAAGCTGGAAAATTGCAATTTACTGCAGTCTTTTCAGAGAGGTTACTTGTGACAGTAGTAGTTAATATGTTAATAACATATGGTAATTGTTCAACATATGTTTTGTGTTATTGTTTTGATATTTTGATTGAGTTTTTGTTAAAATAGAAATACACAACCTTTCATGATCTCAGTATAATTATTTAATAATTAATTTAATGACATGGTGCCGAAACCCACACGGAATAGAAATAAAAGGTACCATGCCTTTAAGGAAGATGATGATGTCCATTCAAACCATACAGAAGACAAGGATAATAATGTAAAACCACCAAAATGTCTTGTGGTTTCAAGTACTCAGATGGCTCCTTCTTGGAAGAAATGGAAGCAACAGTGGAACTGGTACTACACAGCTTCTGGCCTTGATAGGAGAACAAATGCAGTACAGGTAGCATCATTTATGTCTAGTTTAGGCCCAGATGTTATAGATATATATAACAGTTTTGGTTTCATTGATGATGAAGATATTGAATTGGATGAAGTTGTTCAACGATTTGATAAGTTTTTTGTTGGTAAATCTAATGAAGTATTTGAGCGATTTTTGTTCAACAAAATCACCCAAGAAACCTATCAAAGTTTTGAAGATTTTTTTACAAAATTGGTTAACCAAGCTAATTCTTGTAATTTTGAGCAGCTAAAAAATAGTTTGATAAGAGATAGAATTAGGCATATCAGATTCTAGCTTAAAGGAAAAGTTACTTTCTACTGATAACCTTACCCTAGATGATGCGATTAGTAAGTGTAGGGCACATGAACAAGCTAAGAAACAACTAGCAGAAATATCCTCTGACAGCCCTAAAAATGTTAATGTCGTAAAGAGGGATGATTCCTTTTCTAGGCCTACGTTACAAAATTCAGTCTTTGACTGTAAACGTTGTGGTTTACAACACTCTAGAGGCCAATGTCCAGCTTTTAATCGAACTTGCAATCAATGCTTGACTAAAGGTCATTTTGCTAAGATGTGTAAAACTCGAAAGAATCTCCCTAGTAAGAGTAAAAATACTGATGTTTTAGAGGTTGTAGAGAATGAAGATTCTGATTATCCGTTGCATGTTGATTGCATCTCTAACCCAGTCAAGAATCAAGATTGGACAGAACCCTTAAAATTGCCAAATAACAAAACTGTGCAGTTTAAATTAGATACTGGGGCTCAGTGCAATGTTATTTCCCAAGATTTGGCTCTAGCTTGTAATCTTAACATTGTACCTTCTGCTACTAAATGCCTTGTTTCTTTTAACAACCAAAAAACGCCAGTTTTGGGTGAAGCCATTTGTCCAGTTGTAACCAAAAAGTCTCATAAAGACACTGTCTTGTTTGTAATAGTTCCAAATGGGCATCAATCAATATTAGGAAGAGTATCATGTGAAACACTAGGGTTCGTCAAGTGGATTGCTGGTATAGTTGATCAGTCTATAAGTGGCTTATATGATGGAATAGGATGTTTAAAGTCATTTGAGTATGACATTGATCTTGTGGAAAATCCTAGTTTCAAAATACACCCACCCAGGCGAATACCTCATCCAATACGTGACGCAGTGAAAGCAGAACTTGACCAAATGGTAAAAGACAAGATTATTATTCCAGTAAGTGAGCCTACTCCTTGTGTGTCTCCTATGGTCATAGTGCAACAAAGAGACAAAATACGTCTTTGCATTGACCCAACTGATCTAAACAAAAATGTAAAGCGTAGACATTACCCATTGGCTACATTAGAGGACATCGCAGCTAGATTGAATGGTTCTACTTTATTCACCATCCTAGACTGTAAAAAAGGGTTCTGGCAGATAAAAGTTACGACGAGAACATCCAAACTACTAACCTTTTCAACACCTTGGGGGCGCTACTCTTGTTTACGCATGCCCTTTGGTTTGGTATCGGCCCCTGAAGTGTTCCAGTATATTATGTCAGACTTGCTCAAAGGAATTAAGAATGTAGAGTGTTCAATGGATGATATACTCGAATTCACAGTAACAATGAAAGAGATTTGCAAAAGATCACGAATGAAGTAATGACAAAGCTGAGTGAATCAGGACTTACACTTAACAAAGAAAAGTGTATATTTGCCAAACCGTTGGTGAAATTTCTTGGTCACATAGTTTCAGACCAAGGGTTACAAGCTGATCCTGACAAAGTAGCAGCCATTTCAAGAATGAAGGAACCCACATGTTTGTCTGAGCTTCAGAGATTTTTAGGTTGTATAACATACTTGTCAAAGTTTATACCAGATGTTTCGGTTGATACTCAACCTCTAAGAGTTCTCACTGAGAAAAATGTGGCCTGGTTCTGGGATACACCACAACGAGAAGCATTCAACAAGTTAAAGCAAAAACTGCAAAGAACTCCCGTGCTTCGTTACTATGACCCTAACTCTCCTGTGACTCTATCTGTGGATTCAAGCAGTTATGCAGTAGGTGCTGTTATGTTACAATCTGGGCAGCCCGTAGCTTATAATTCCAAAGCATTGACTCAATCGCAACAGAACTACAGTCAACTTGAAAAAGAGACATTCGCAATACTGACTGCTTGCAAAAGGTTTCATGAGTATGTATGGGGATGCAAGGAGTTGATTATTGAATCAGATCATAAGCCTTTAGAGGCTATCTTTAAGAAACCGTTGTCTGACGCTCCTCCCAGAATCCAAAGAATGTGTTTGGAAATATTACCGTATCGACCAAGAGTTGTCTACAAGAGGGGTTGTGAGCTTCATCTGGCTGACACCTTGAGTAGAGATTGCTACAATGACAACCAAGATGATGAACCTCACAGCTTTGATATTCAGTTGATAATTCCTATGTCTTCTGATACAATTTCTCGAATCAGAACTAGTGTTGGAAAATGCACAGAGCTTTCTAAATTGAAGGAAATGATCTTGAATGGATGGCCCGAAGAAAGAAGCACTGTTGACAAGGAATTAGTAAAATATTTCACTTTCCGAGAAGAACTAAGTTGCTATGATGGTCTTTTGTTTAAAGGAAGCCGTTTGATTATACCTGATGAAATGAAACTTGAAGTTTTACAGAATATTCACCGTCCTCACAAATGTGTTCAAAGTTCAATTAATACAGCACGTGACTATGTATATTGGATTAATATGGAAAAAGATATTGAACAATATGTAGCAAGGTGCAATGTATGCAGCAAATATCAACGAGATAAACCTCAAGATGTGATCCTTCAAGAAACAGTACCAGTGAGGCCATGGCAGTTCATCGGAGCTGATGTTTTTGAACGTGGAGGTAAAGACTTCTTAGTAGTTGCTGATAGTTACTCAGGATATTTTGAGTGTGAAAATCTTAGGAACAAAAGTAGCATCACTGTTATTACACACCTAAAAAAGTACTTTGCAACTCATGGTATTCCAGATGAACTAAGAACTGATGGAGGACCATGTTTTGCTTCTATGGAATTTACTAAATTCGTATCCGAATGGAAATTTAATCATAGAATTTCATCTCCTCATTTTCCAAGATCCAACGGGCTAGCAGAGAGGTATGTCCAAGAAGGAAAAAACTTAATTGTCAAGTGTCAAGAAGAACAGTCCGATATTTATCTTGCACTTCTTCATCACCGTAACACACCAAGAGGTAACCTAGGTTCCCCAGTTCAGCGGCTGATGAGTAGGAGGACAAAGACTCTACTTCCATCTACGACCAACCACCTTATTCCGATGGTCATAAAAAATGTTTCAAAACAGCTAGAAAAAATTAAAAGACGAGAGAAGCTATACGGTGATATGAGGAAGACAGAGCCTGATCAGTTTCAACTCGATGAACCAGTGCTTTTCAGATTCAAACCAAAGTGTTGGCTGAGAGCAAAGATTGTTCAAGTTGGTCCTGAACCTCGATCGTACAAAATCCAGACTGGTGATGGACGAGAATACCGAAGAAACTCATGGTTCCTAAGAAGAGACAAGTCATTCAGAATCTCCCATGATGTTAATAAAGGTCAATCGTCCAGGTCAGAATTACAAAACAATGACTCAGCTCCTGTTGTAAGACGAGGGGAAAGGATTAGAAGAAAACCAAATCATTTTGACTTGTGAAGGAGGGATGACAGTAGTAGTTAATATGTTAATAACATATGGTAATTGTTCAACATATGTTTTGTGTTATTGTTTTGATATTTTGATTGAGTTTTTGTTAAAATAGAAATACACAACCTTTCATGATCTCAGTATAATTATTTAATAATTAATTTAATGACAACTTGGATGTATTCATTCAGCTTAGTGAAAACATAATATAGAGCCTTAATGATATTAAACTACCTAACAAAAAGTTTTGTGAATCTTTACTAGCTCTACTCAGCAAGAAAAACCAATTTAACGGTTCAAGAATAAAAGCCAGGGTTACTGCAAGTATGTTCCACTACCTTTATTGGAACATTCCAAAGAGAGATTATATTGAGAACTTTATGTAGGTAATTGATAAGACTGAGACAACTGACATCCCCATGTCATGGACTTCCAGCTATAAGAATAACCCCACGACCAATTTCTCAAAATTATGCTAGAGGGTTAGCCTATTAATTGGCAAGAAGTAGGCCTACGTTATGATGACCGATGTGACAATGGAAAAAATAAAAATTACTCCTAAACTTAATAACTTAGGTTAATTGCGTGAACCTTCCTTTTGAAGGGTTTCACCTAGTTGACTATTAATACGATAAGTTATAGTTAATATTCTCTCCTGATAATAACAGGCATATTTTTTTAAGATTGGCTCATTCAAGATAATTCACCATTAATCACAACCATATAGGTCTAAGGGTCTTCATGTCTGTCATTTTTGTCATCTTCTATATGATTGTTATTTTGTATGTGTTCGTCTAAAGCATTGATCTCAACATCAAGGGACCACACAACTTAACATTTTTGAACCCAGCAATGTTGCTAGTATTTTAATCAAATTTGTCATAGTTGATGTGAGCCATTGACAGATTGTGCTGATCTAAATTACTAATTTCTGTAAATACACAATTTTTTACCAAGTCAAACTAATGGAACGACTTATTATGAGCTATAGCAACTGTTATGACCCATTAACTATGCCAGCAACAATAAATAAGGTAGAAAATATAATTTTAGACACTAGCACATTCTGTTACTGGCTCACTCAACTACATTCTTTTATAGTAAAAAATTTGGCGACAGCCGATCCATATAAATGGGATATCGACTTCTGTATCCAATAGTCAACGCCATTCAATTCAGTCCTTTCTTCCCACAGTATTCAGCTAATTAATCTCAAACTACCACATCAGATAAGACTTTCAATCTTGACTTGTTTTGATTTCAGATTTTGTACGTGTAACCTCAAGAACAGTTTCCAGAATGACACTAGAATCCCTAGATAAGGTCCCCAATGTTGAGATAGACCCTAGTGGAGTATTTAAATACATTCTAATAAGGGTTTACGCAAAGCAAACCCCAGATGGGAATGAACCATCCAAAATGATAGTTCGAGGCAACATACGTGGACCTTATCATGGTAAGTCTAGAATTCTTTCAGCTTCAAACTGTTCAGGATTTTTAAGAATTTCGTAATAGCACAGAGAAGTAAAGTAAGTTACAAAGAAAACATGCTTATGGGACAAACCTGCGCTTTCAGCTCTGGTAAGTTGTGCTGAAAATATATTTGTGACAGGGAAGGAAGAGCCCGAGCGCCAAGCACACTGTGGAAATTTCTATCACACCGGGCACAGGGTCTTCCTCCACCATTACCATTGTAGTACATGAAGGCGAGAGGGTGATGTTGGATTTTGCCCTAGACACCCGCAACTAGCTAGACAGACTTAAGTGTACCATTGAATGTTTCCTCTGTACCTTACTCCTCTGTGATAAAAGTGAAGGTGTTGGTAACTGGTAACTGGTGATGATCAAAACTAGACATTTTGAATCTTTAAACCGAAACCCAAACTTAAAAAACAATTGAATCCCAAATCTCTAAACTAAAACTTTCCTAGTTAAGTTACCTAACAAAGTAAAAAAATACAGGTAGCCTAATAATAAATGCTTAAAACTGAAAGAGATTAGCATTAATATGTGACTTGGTGGACTTAAAACATTATTTTTGATTAAAAACAAAGACCAAATTAAATTAAACTCCTGACTCTAACATAAATATGAATATTAAATGAATTAAAACAATTAGTGGTTAGTTTTTATTTGCGTTTAGTAAATATCGATATGACACTTGTATGTTTTTCCAGTCTAGTATTTGTGATGGGAACACTTTGGTAGGTTAAGTCGTTGAGGACAAGCTGATAGCAGGTTTTGTAATCACACCTTTAAGATTTTGCACTTCAGGGTATAGTTTACTTGTTTCATTAGTGTTAATGGTGATCCGTTTGCTCCATTGCTGCAAGGCCCCACTAGAAAAAAACAGGCCATGCTGCAGCGAGGGTAGCGCAACACTACGTCACAGTGGTGGATAGCTGTACTAAACTCTTACCATTAAAATCTTACAAACAGCCAGCTTGTTTATTTACCTATGGGAATGGTGATGGCAATGAATTTATCAATGAAATCTATCCACTAGTGTGACGTCATGGATCCTGCAGCATGGCCTGCTTTTTCTAGTGGGGCCTTGATTGCTGTCAGCTGGTGAGTAAACAGTGTTGTTTGAACACCAGCTGGTTCTTCTACACTGATGGTAGTTCACAGATGGTTGTTCACAGGAGTTGTGAAGAAGTAGAGTAAGCTCAAGACTTAACGAGAGAGTTTTAAAATTTTCAATTTTTGCCACCTTTACATCACTGATTTGTGGAGTTTGATAAAACAACACATTTCAGGTTAGGCCTATAGAAATACTTTGGGGACCATAGGACATTTTATAATTTGGTCCTAGTTTTTCAGTAGTAAGCTAGTAAAGTAACGATCTAAATTGTCTTCCAGATCGATGGATGATAATTTTGGAGTTGACACAATTTCATACACTTATACCTACTTATAAAACTGTTTGGTTGAAAAAAAAACAACAAAATAATTTCAATAGTTTGAGGGTTGTTAAGAAAAATTGGTGGAATGTTTTACTTATTTATGCATTAGATCAGCTGTGTGCCTACTGCGTACGCTTCTGGTGGAAGTCAAAATCATCCAAATGTTTTTGTGTTTCAAAACATGAATAAACTCTGTTGAGATCCACTGAAACACATTTAAGATATAACGTAGAATGCAATTAGCTTATTTTGTTCCAAAATTGTCAAATCAGTATTATTGTTGTAATCAACTGCTTCAACAATCGTGACATATCTTTTTGGTGTGAGATTAATTGATTTTTAAGTTATAAATCACACGGTTTTACTGCAAGAACTTTGGATTATATTTCATGTTATTATTAGCATTCGTTATACAGAAATACTCTGAATTGAGATTTCAAGCTTCTATTGTGTGTTTTGGTGATTGAATTAAGTAAGGTTTCAGAATCAAGTCCTATAACGTTCTTTCATTTTAAAATTTAGCCTCCGGATTACGTTGAATATATGAAATTGGTGTAAATATCTGGTTCCTAGTAATCCTAATTGTTGCTAGTGTTGCAATCAATTTTTTACAAAGTCATCTTCAGGCGTCAAGGATGTCAAAAGGGTGGTCACTTCTTCATGTACTTTGGTGTAATGACGACCTTTATATGAACTGACCACCCTTTTGACATCCTTGACGCCTGAAGATGACTTTGTAGAAAGTCTAAACTAGTTGCGACACTAGCAACAGTTAGAATTACTACGAAGCAGGTAATTAGGCAACTTCCAATTTTATATAATGTTCTAGCTGGTCTAGTTAACTTAAAACTTTTTTCCAAATTCTCAACAGCTAGCTATAATGGGTTAAATCCGGATTTGTTCTCAACACTGTTTTTTTTGGCAGACTTGATAAGGTTTCTATCCTACAAATAAAACAACGTACATGTAAAAACATTTAATAAATTATTTATCTTTCACTTATGAACTAGTATAAACAGAGGAAATCTGATCTATACAATTTATGACTGATATATCGTCAAAAAATAAATTATGTCCAAATTGGTATATCAACAGACAAGCCAAGGTGTGTGAGTGCAGTGATATGTAGCTAAAAGTACAATCAAATTTGTTTTGAGCAGTTATCAGGGCTCTACAGTTCGTAGAATCCAATATTTTTATTCCTCTAGTGTGATAGGGACTTGGCCAAAACTGGATGGAATCGGATAAAAAAATTGAAAAGGATCATTGCACTTTTAGAATTTTAGAATTTATAAAACATTTTATGTGAAGGCTTTTTAAATCACACCTATAATAATACGTTGTACCATAAATGCTATAATATTAGGGCTGTCCGTAAATTATGGTCTCCATCGGGCTGCAGTTGTGTTTGAGCAAGCTAGTTCAAAATATAAGACTAGCGCTGTGTTCTTGGATGTCAGTTAATAGTTTTCATATAGGGTGGGAACCAGGTAAAACAGTAGTGGACGAAGTAAATGTTACGGGACTGATGTCAAATTTGAACCAGCTCACGTGGATGGGGCAGAAGCTCGATAAAGACATTTAATTTACAGACACCCTTTTAGATCTTTTAGATTTAAAGAAATAAGAAACATTTGTGGTATAGATATTCATATAATGTTTTATATGTTGGAAGCAAGTCACTGACTTCCATGTTATGTATTCCCATGTATTCCTGTATATGTATTCCATGATTTTAATTTTCCACTTAACTTTCATTGTGCTTTTATCACTGAAAGGGCTCACTAAATTAACCCATACAGTGCTAATGAAAAATGAATGCATGTATAAAAAAGAAACAGGTCCTAAAATTTTACATGTTAATTGACTTAGTAATCGTCTGTGAAAATATACTCTTGCAGTTGTTCCCACAAAGGGTTCACTACCCGGGAGTTCTCTGACACAGGTTTGAGTTTTTTTGTCACTGCATTGATGGCTGTTTGAGATTAAAACAACAGAATACTCTTTGTATTTTCCAGTCTCTGTCGTCGCTTTTGACATGTTGTGAGTTGTTGTTCACCTGCGGTTGTGTTGTTTGTTGTGCTTGTATCGTTTGCTGCGGCTGCGTTGTTTGCTGTAGTTGCGCCGGTTGCACCACTTGCTGTGGTTTTTCCGTTTGCTGTGGCTGCGCTGATTGATGTGGTTGAGTTTTTTCTGGTGTTTGCTTTGAGTTGTCCAACCCTCAGATGTCCATTTCCTCTGACAATTCCCGGATTACGTCTATGTCCGTTGTTGTGTTTGCAGAGGTTTTTGTTGGAGTCAGTGACACAGGTTCTGGCAGCGGAACTCCTCCTGTAGAGTCCAGATCCAGTTGCGAATGCATCAAAGTGAACGGGAGCTTCAAAGACAACTCGCCCCCAATCGCTCCAACTAGCAACTTGACTTTGACGTAGTACGAGACATATATGGCGAACACGTTCCTCTCCTCGGGGGAGTTGCAGGTGACGGTGGAGGCAAGGGAAGCGTTGGACTTGCTGTAGGAGTCCTCCAATGCTATCCAGTTTTTGGTCGCCCCCTTGGCGGGGTTGAGTGAGTAGGTTTTGTTGAGAGTCGTCCCAGGACCTAGTGGACACTCCTCCTTGCTGTTGATCAAGGCGACTACGTTCTTGAACTTTCCATTGGAGAACATACAGACGTCCACATGCTGCACGATGAAAACCTGCAACAGTACATGTTGATTTAGACAAACGTATGGGTTGATTAAAAATTTGATGTGGACAGGAGACTTCATAAACTCCAATACATATGGTGTGATATGGTAGAAAATCATCTATTAGGCCTATTGATTATTGAAGATATTTGAACCATCCATAAATACACTTAATTGACTTTCAATACATGGACATCTGAGTAACATAATTACTGTCTCAAAATTTTGATTATATGTAGGCCTATTATAATTTTAAATTAAACATTTATGTTAAGGTAAATTTGAATATAAAACACTTTGTCAGAGATTGTCTGCATGTGTTTCATTTTTGATCTGGCTTAGCCAACAGATTGTAATAGATCAGAAAATGCATTGATCTCATACTGTGATAGATTTAGTTCAGAAAACAATGGTCGATCATTATAAGAAATAGATTTTGCGTTTACAGCTATAGATTTTAAAATGACAATAACCAAACTAACTCACAGAGAAGTAAGAAACATTAAGCCAACACAAGCTTATTGGACGACTGTGGGCTTTCAGCTCTGATATGTTAGGGCAGAAAAATATACTTTTGCCGAGCAAGGAAGAGCCCAAACTGCGACCACTGTGTGGAAATTCCTATCGCACAGGGTCTTTCACCATGAGCGTTGTACTCCATAAGGGCAAGGGGGCAAAAGGAGGTCTTTGCCCTAGATGCCAGCATTGGTGCTAGACACCACTTAAAAGTGAAGTATATTGAATGTTTCCTCTGTATCTTACTTCTCTGTGACTTATGTAAAAAACTTCTGTTAGAGATCTGAACTGAAACAGCCTATACTTTTCAACCATTGATGATAAAAAGGTTATTGAAACTGCCTTGCCCCCCATTATTTCAGTTAATTGGGTTTTCACTGTACACAGAACTTTTAAAATTTTGCATGAGGCAAAGTATTGCCTGCAAGATCTTCTTTTTGTGCCAAAAACTACCCTGACAGCCTCTTCTGGAGTTTAAAAAGTAAAGTGGCTTTCCCACACTCCAGTGGGATGAATAAATTAACGTATTCAGACACACATCATTACATGTTACCTTTATCCGACGGACAGTCTTGTTGGTGGTATTGGTGAGGTGGATGTTGACCAGGACAGTGTCGCCGTGGCAGTAGATGGCTCTGTCTAGTGATGCCTCCAACACCAGTCGTCCGTCACTCAGCAGGAAGGGCTTGTCAGCAGCAGCTCGTGGCGCCGGCACGTCGTATGGTCTGTCTGGACACACCTGCTGCACCACCCGGATACTCATGCGCACCGTGCTACGTCTGTGGAGCTTCTCGTCTGCGCGGTCAGCTGCAACATTTGGTTACGGGGAACAAGTGTCTTGAATTTGTGGATTCATTACTTTTGACAGTAAAAACTCACTAACAGAACTGCCGAATTATCCAAATCACTTACCGAAAAATGATAAAACTATATTTACACAAATTGTTATTGAAGACACCAAAAACCTAGATTGTGGCAAAACCATGAACATCTCTCGCAGTCATGGAGGCATCATCATCATCATCATCTCCCAGAAACAACCATTGTTGCCACAAACATGGCATAATCATGACAATCTTCTGGTGGGGACAACAAAGTTATTATTATTCTCCACAATTGTCACCAAAGCGTGAATCTTTCATCACAAAAAACGTTTTGGTAGCATTCTGCGATAACGATAATATCATCTTAAACAGATCAGTTGTGTAGTAAAGTATTTGCAAATAAAACACTTTAAAATAAACTGTAGGAGGTATAACAGAGTGGTAAACTATCAATAGTCACTCAGCAGTGCTTGGTTGATATATACATGTGTTTAGGCTGTTGTTTTAATTTATTTAGCCATTTTACAGTTTAATTATGTTTTATTTACCCCATAACTATAGACTGGTATAGTTTCTTTCTTTTTTTTAAACGATTCAAAGTGTATAACACCAAATATGCAACCTAGATTTGTATAATAATAACTGTTGAGAAACAGTTCCTATCAGTCAAGCAACCCTTGATTATAGTTTAGAACTTAAACAGTATCACAAATTCCACTTACCCACGTATGCTCTGACGTCGTAACTGGTTCCAATAGGAGCTCCGCTGTACTCCTTGGCAGGCACAAGTTGAACACTGGGAGGAGCGAGTCTGTTGACCTCCATGGTAAAGGCATGTGCGTTTGGACCCAGTCTCCTTAGCAGAGCTTCCTGAAAACATCAACATTCAGAGAATCAAACAAGCAACGGATCAACACAAAAATTACTCTTATCGGTGGAAATTGAAAAAAAAATATCCTGGAATATAAGACATTTTGAATGTTAAATTTCAACCACAGGTATATGCCCCCGGTTGGTGAATCGATGGCTCAGTGGGTATGGCGAGGATCTATGAAATTGGACAATATATGTGGATTTGCTTCCAAGTGCCACCACTTAAAATTGATCCGTTCTCTTTTACTTTTCGGCTTAACCCTTCGATTGCTTGATATGTTATAGTAATGACCAAAGTTAAAAGAGGCTGCCAACCTCTTTAAAAAACGAATAGAAGGAAAGATATTCAAATTGAGGAGTTTTATGTTTCTAATTAGTGTTTGAAGATATCTTAAATCCATCCTACTTTTGACCTTTAGTCTTTCAGAATAGGACATACATGATTGACTGTATCTAAGAAATAGAAAATTACACGTGATTGCAAAACTTGTGTAAATAGTTTAAAGTATTTAATCTGATATTAAGATCACTAGGATAGAATTATTATGCATATTAATAACATACTAAAGGGTAAAATTATCATGCAATATCTGATCTGATCTTGACTATAAAGTTGATGTATCAATTACTAAAGTGAAATAACTTTGATAAACAAATAAAAAACATATCCGACACAATGTCATTAGAAGGCAGACTACTGCAATATTGTAAAGAAGACACACCTGGAGGGGGGTTTTGGGCTCCTGCTGTGCACGCTCGTGGGGAGGATGGAGCTGAGCTAGACACATGATGGCTTCATTGCAGAACTTCAGACCCATCACCTCCTCATCCTCCCTCCCATAGCGGAATGTCAATGTCACTTGGCCAAAGATCTGAAACACAACAGATATAGGCTAGACACATAATGGCTTCATTGCAGAACTTGAGACCCATCACTTCCTCATCCTCCCTCCCATAGCGGAATGTCAATGTCACTTGGCCAAATATCTGAAACACAACAGATATAGGCTAGACACATAATGGCTTCATTGCAGTACTTGAGACTCATCACTTCCTCATCCTCCCTCCCGTAGCGGAATGTCAATGTCACTTGGCCAAATATCTGAAACACAACAGATATAGGCTAGACACATGATGGCTTCATTGCAGTACTTGAGACTCATCACTTCCTCATCCTCCCTCCCGTAGCGGAATGTCAATGTCACTTGGCCAAATATCTGAAACACAACAGATATAGGCTAGACACATGATGGCTTCATTGCAGTACTTGAGACTCATCACTTCCTCATCCTCCCTCCCATAGCGGAATGTCAATGTCACTTGGTAAATTAATTATTGTAAACATCAGTATCTGTATTTGGGTTTCAAACCTAAAGGTTAATTTTCAACCTGTCTACCAAGTAGTTTAAAACATCCTCATCCCTTTGGTTGTGAAGGGATGCCAAATACATCTAACATTTACACAAACACGAAATCATTGAACTAAATCTTTGGCCAAAAATTTTGATACTGAAAAGCGGTTGCTTGTTGTAGCCGGCAGAATATGAGTCAAGTCTCATCATTCATGACTCATAACAACCCAAGAGAAGAAGAGGATTTTTCAACTACTAGCTAGGCAGTTTTTAAACGAACCTATAGGCTTGAAACCTTGGTCGCTAGAATAAAATACGGATCATTGGCATTAAAACAGGTATTTAACCCTTTTATTTGTAAAAAAAGGTAATCCTGAGACTAAACATGTTTGAATCGATAATTAGTTGTTGATTCATTTGCATATAATGAATTTAAAAAATGCAAAGGGGTTTTCCAAAAGAGGCAAAAGAGTTTCAAAGCTAATTGACGGTTGCATAATTAAAACGTTGCTCTCGGTCCTTTTAATTTGTGTACATAAAAGAGTAATAAGCAAGGGCTTGAATAATAACATGTCTATTTTAAAATTATTACTTTGGTACATATGATTTGTTAAAATTACTAGATGAATGTACATATAATTTACTTAATCCATGGTTTGGACTCAAATAAGTGGCTGTGGATGGTTAATGAGTTATATTATTGAATCTCAGCAAAGAAAAAAAATGTCTATGACTCTCAAAATAATGGTTTAACATCAATGTATTATGATTATTGAAGATCTATCTTCATAGGAACCTTAATGTGTTAGTGCAGGAGTTTGTACATAATTTATTGATGGTGTTAGAACATTCCGTGAATGGTAGAGCGGCGCTCAGCCATCTGTGTAGGCATTCATCCTTTGTTTTCGTCCATACACGAACGAACACAAAGCATCTCTCTTATCACTTGCTCTCAGTTGAGACTCAGATTGTAAGTCACTTTCATCACAGAACCCTTTAGTCGGATCTCAGCTATTATTAAACTTCTGCACTGTATCATTTGTAAACAAATTGGGTCTATTGTTGTGTTAAACAATACGAATAAGAGATAAACATAATGTTATGTTAGTGTATTCTAGTTATTGAAAATTGATAATATCCATCAAGGGCATCAACTATGTTGATAAAAGGTTTGTTGACATAAATTATTATTAGGTGTATTTTCAAGGTTATGTCATTATTTTATTCTGTTTAATGTTTAATTTCCAATTTACGTTGAAGATGAGTGTGTAAGTGACACATGTATAAGCTATTTCTGACACTCAACTCCGAATACATGATAGATATTTTCTAATTTACCAACAATGTGTTTTGTTGTGGGGTAATACATCCCACACAAAATAACCAGACGGGGAAAAATTTAGTAAGTGAAAACTTACCTTTCGGTTTTGTAGAAAATCAGGTTCAACAATAACGACCCCATGGATTTTTCCGACGTTTTTCTGTGAAATAACAATATCCCGACTTCCGAGGTACAACGTCAGCTTGTTGTTAGGAGAACACTTCTTGAATACCCTGTAAAAAAATCAATCCATTATTAAGTGTAGGTAACGTTAATTATTTATGATAGCCGAAAGAATAATTTGCCTACTTATGATCAGCCTAAAATAACTTTGGCCTACTGTAGAAACTTAATAACTAAAAAAAATAACTTTTATGGGAGCTTGCGAAACAAGGCGTTTTCGTTGGCATGTTTCCACAAAATATGTGGTTGGTTATTAGCAAAAATTAGAAGCTTACATCTATAAGATTGAAAAATAAACTTTAATTCCTGTAGGTGGAGCTCTTCTAAAAACAAATCTCAGTATGTTATCACAAACTATAAATTTGCAATTTTTTGGCATTGCAAAATATATTCAGTAGTACCTATCTAACAAACGGTAGCTAACTTTTTTCTTTATCAAAGGATGATGACTTACTTGTACACATGGTCCATAACAAATTCCCTTTTTACACTACATCTCACATTGTATGACAAATTATGTTGTGACATCATTTTGGAGGTAAAAGCTTAACCATGTAATGTTACTTTGTGCATAATGATAATGTTGTCACTTTGAGATAATGATAATCTATTGATTTTCTATCAAATAATTTTGACACATGAGCATGGCCTAATGTCATCTATCAGTTGTGAAAATAACTCATAATTTCAGGTTTTAATGTAAAATATTTAACATGAAGTGAATAAAGAATCACTCTGTTATTTAAAACCTCTTCCATTTATGTTGATTCCACAAAACCTCAGCTCTTAATTTTTTAATGTATACAATTAGTAATTTGTAAATTCATAGGTAAAATATTGTTTATTTTGCCGTAATTCATGGTATAATTTAAGAAGCTGAAAGTTTAAATTTACATTTTTGCAGTTTCATAAAATATTATGCAGTAACAAAATGTTAACTTAATTTTTGATTCCTTAAACAATGTTGTTTTAAAAATGAAGCTATAGTTTCTCAATAAAAAAATATTGTAATGCATATTAGATTGATAGAAAATGATTAGGCTCATGTAAATATTTGCACTTGGTTACAGAAAACTATTGAATCAAAATGTTTAATTAATTGATAGAAATTTGTTGAGTATCCTCTTTACGCAGGCCCATTTTCTTAATATTTCATAACGAATCAACTCAAAAGCATGTGTCCTGTTAGTACTAAAAACAAACATATTAGTGCTTCTGATTATTGACTATATTACTTTTTACTATAATTAGAACTAGACATTAACTTCCCATAGTAAGGTCGTAGTTAGTTTTAGAATAATAAGTTAATTTACTGTTCTAGAAGAGTTGAGCCACCGACGGAGTTCTTATATAAATTTTTGATTTATGATGAATAAGCCATATTTTAACAAAGTTAAACTTAGAGACAATAGTACTCATGGTATGACCTGGACCCGGGACCGATTTATTTTTTCGTTTTGAGGTCCCCAAAGGCCAAAAACACCATCCGTTAAAAATTCATATATTCATAATTCATGTGTCCATTGGCTTGGATAACTTTAGCAAAAATGATCCAATTTTGATCAAATTTAATAGGGAATAAATGTAATATTTTAAAGGATTTATTTTAGTAAATCCAATCAGGCAAATGGAAATTCGCTTAGTCTGCAGGTTTGCTGCAGCAGGGGTATTTTAATAAGAAGTTGGCTGCAGCTTGCCCCTATTGATTGGCTGTTTACTTTAGTTTTCAATAGTTAATGGTATTTCTGTGTTTCAGCTGACATCTATGACGAGGCGCGGAGTAAGATAGAGCCACTGGGGTTTGATACTGAGTGTGTGGGAGGCGGCCGTATTGAACACAACTCGGACAAAAAGAATATCTTTGTTTACGGATACTCACAGGTATTTAATACATGAGTAAAATTTGTTGTAAAGTAAAGAGGTCATAAGAGGTAGGAGGTTTAGCTTCTTTTGACCTTGCATTCGCCTGTTCACATAGGCCTCATTGTACGTGGAATGAATCCAGCAAAGCAAAGCACTCTTAAAAGTTAGAGGAGAATACAAAGACGTGAACCCAGAACATTGTTGCCGTGAATTCATCGTCCATGCTGCTGACTTAGCCACTGACTCGCCACTTATCAAAATTGTAAACTGTTTATCACTATTTCATAGTGTTCTTGAGCAGTAGATTTTAATATCTGGCCTTGACCTATCTCAATTAAACTGTTCATAAATGCTATATGTGTAAACATTCCTCACAAAACTGGAAGTAGCACAGTATAAACTTGGTAATTTGGGAAGTTTAGAACTTAGAATTACAGGAAATACCACATTATTACTGTGTGCCACCTAAAACAGGTGTCATTATGAAGGGGGAAGTACCACTAAAGTAGCTAATACTTGGTATCAGATAATTTTTCCATGTACAATTTTGACTTATCAATACGTCCAATTACAGCACTTGGCCTGCAAAACCTTGCCGATCTCGCTTGCGTCAGAATGAGGTTTATTCAGTGAAACATAAATCCTGAGGCCAAGAACATGTTTAATGTCCCAGTCCCCCACTGGGGACTGGGGTGTCCCTGCTGGGGACTGGTGGGCATTAATTTGTAAGAATAACATATACAACTAAAAAAAAATAAACACACAAAATGTATAATGTATATGTAGTATTTAATGTGCTAATGTTCTTATAAAAAAAAAAAACATAATAGGAAATAGTAAGCCTTTTATGACAGAAATATGTAACCTGTATATTATTGTAATTAAGGGATATAAACATGAAAGAATGAAGAATCAAACAAAATATTACAGGTGTAACTGTAAAACGTTCATACCCAATATTAATTGTGTTTGAAACCATAATTATCAATGAAAATATCACATAGAAAGATTTTTCAAAAGGCGAAAGATAAATTTTATACATGTAATAGCCAAGGCGCAATATAGAATCTCTCTGATGAGCAGTTAAGGGAGAGCAGGTTCATGGCATGTACACAAAGGGGTTGATTGATGCTTGGTAGCACACATGATCATCTCATCGGGGGGTGAATATTACTTATACACAGTCCCTTCATAACTACAACCACGGACTACAGTAGTTGTATGATTAGTAATCACAAGCAAGTTATTGAGTTGAGGGAGTTGTGCAAAAGACTTGGAACATTGACAAAATACAATAGGGTTGTTTCCCAGTGTCACTTAAGTATTTTCAACTCTATTTATTATTTTGCTGTACAAAATAACCTGTACTTTGATCACAATATTTAGGCGGTTTGAGGAGAAGTTCCCCCACAATTCTTTTTTGTAATTAATGTATTGCTTAATCAGCTGTTGAGCTATTATTTTAAAGGTAAGGGTCAAGTGGAGGGAATAGATTTCTTCCCCTAAAACCGCATAAATATTGTGAACAAAGTACAAAGGTTTCCTTTGTGTGTTACAGACTCAAACAAAGTTCTAAATTGAAAATAAATATTGCAATACTATGTTAATCTTTAAAATATTCACATTAATAAAACAATCTATTGAAATTAAGTAATGTAAATGGGGGAACAGATTTGCCTAGGCACAGGATAAATCCTACTCAGCACACAGAAATTAAGTATCTATCTTTCTTTCTGGGACGGGTGGCGTCAAACTGTAATCCAGCTACTAGGAGGTCACGAATTTTTGATATATAGCATGCACTGTGGTTGCTATACTCCCTGGTGTGGATTAACGTCCGTACGAGTGAGTACTACAACTATCCGCTGTACTATCCTGATAATTAGACCAATTCGTTTATACCAAGGCAAAAATGTGGTTCAGATTCCACTATAAACTGTAGGTCCCTTAGATGCCATTAGCTGTATGGGCTATTAATTAACAGCTGTAACTAAGGAATATGTCGGCCTTAGTCAATAACAAGACTACAAGATCGCGCCACTCATCCTACACTCATCTCCATTCATACTTGGCTTAAAATACCTACTTTGTATGGTCGCCATTTCATTGAAAAGTATTAAAGTATTAAAGTTCCTCATAACCTCTATTTGTGTATTATTACAAAATATACATCGTGATCACTATTATTGATCAATGTTGTTGTTGCAGGGTTTTGGCAAAGCTGATCACCAAATCACTGTAGACCTGCTCAAGCCAGCCTATCCAGATTATAATATAACGTTCTCCAACGAAGGATACTAAGCTTCGCACAATCTCATGTTTATAACTTGGACTTTCAATTAATAGCTTTTACTATTTATCTCTGCCTGGACTGTTATTATAGACATTAAATGTTTTTCTATTGATTGAAAAGGTGTTTTGATGGACCACCTGTAGTGTATGTGCAATGTTGCTAGTTCGATTTCTGGACTGGTGCTGTTTAACACGTTGAGTGCCAGGGGCCGGAATTCTTGTCCCGCCGTATCGGCACCACTGGGCGGGAAATGTTGTTTTCCTTGCATGACAACAACCATGCTTCAGTGTGAGCTCAGCCTCTCACGGAAAACGTTTTCCAATTGCCCCTTATTGTGCCAGTTTTATACTTCAATCCAGTATAATTTAGATACCACTATTTTATCGGTGGAAGGGACTGGTCCAAATTTAGTGTAGTTTATGGTTTTGGCTTGGATTTAGTGAAATGGAAGAGAATAATGATAATAATTAATTAAATTAATGCAGAGAACTGGTAATTTTTAATAAAAAAGTTTAGGCAAAAGTTAAATATTTAGATTTTTCATAAAAGCACAGTTAATAAAAAAAAAATAGTTTTCCTAACTAACTAGCCTGTGATCGTTATATTTATATTTCGGAGTGAACACTGTGAATGCATGAGCTGAGGGAAGTGTCCATGGAAAGATAAATACTAATCACAGTGAACAATCAAACATTCCCAACCAAACTGGTCCAAACTGGAACAAGAGACAAGTCTTGTGCCACTTGTGCTAGTTAAGAATAACTAAATATACTTAAAATTGTAACAAAATGTTATTCTCTTAATCATTATAAATAGGTACAATAAAAATTCTTATTTTTTACAAAATATGGGTTAAACAAACTAATTCTGGAATTATATCAAAATGAAAAATTATACAACAAATAGCAGCCTTACAACTAGAATTTGGAGTCATTGCTAAAACAAGATGTAATGTGAAAAATAATTATCTTAATGTCCTGCCATTTTAGAAATATCTATCTTAAATTAATTGTAATCTAGTTAAAAGTAAAATTTACAATACTTATTTTGTAACTAATGCTCAAAAGTACTGACTTCCCATGACTATTTGATGCCATATTTTAGATTTTATATTAGATTTTAAAATATTTTGGCACCAAGGAGACCAAGTTTACCTGTGTACAATTTAAGAGAAATAACCATGGTGATTGTCTTACATTTATTGAAAAAAGAAATAATCATGGACATTGTTCAAACTATTATTTGTACCGCGGCAAGAGATGCCTTCATATTTTTCAGAGGATATGGTACAATTTGTCTTCCATTCTATTGCGCATATGCCTTTTACCTCTACTTCTTTGGTTGAAGTGTATTAACACTGTTACCACCAAGAAGACTAATTAAGAAGCTGGAAACAAAATTATAGTCTTACATAGCACTTGAGAAGAATTTGGCCACCAGCCCAAAATATTCAATCTTCAGTAAGCCTACTACAGAACCTAATAGCACCATTAGTGGCCCTCTTTAAGAGGAATCAATAATATAAGGAAGGAAGGAGCAAACTCTACTCCCAGAAGGAAGGAAGGAGCAGATACAGACTTTACCCTCAGAAGGAAGGAAGGCAGATACAGACTTTACTCTCAGCAGGAAGGAAGGCAGATACAGACTCTACTCTCAGAAGGAAGGAGCAGATACAGATTCTACTCCCAGAAGGAAGGAAGGCAGATACAGACCCTACTCTCAGAAGGAAGGAGCAGATACATACTCTAATCCCAGAAGGAAGGAAGGAGCAGATACATACTCTAATCCCAGAAGGAACAAAAAGGAGCAGATACAGACTAGACTCTCAGCACCATCAATTTAGAGAACTGATATCACTAAAATGTGATTTTTCATTATTTCCAAGAATATAGAATTTATAAAGACATCATATTGTGTTTATTATTTATTCATGTTCCCAAAGTGTATGTCTAGAAAGTTTTTTTTCACCACACTATGTTGTTTTTAGATGTTTTACAAATGTTAATTGGAGGCTGAAAGTTATGTATTGCTGTACACATGGTCATTTGGGGACCGAGCAGGTTTTTACATCCCTATGGCCGAAAATCTGTCTGCTTATTTACTTAAAACATTAGTGTGTGTACACAAGCATACACAAGCAGTATCCATATTATGCTTTGCAATAGACTTGTTTTATTCTCATCCCTAGCAACTACTTATTATTTTTGCTGATTCCTCTAAATATTTCTTTACATAACCTTAAAGTTGCATGTATTTATTGTATATGTTACACTCAACCTCCGAATCCGAACAATGTCCGAAATTTTTACCCAATCCGCGATGTGGACAGTGTGAAATACCCACGTAGCAGAGTGAGCATTTTAGTTGGACATTGGCCGAAGCGAAATGCCCAGACCGCGTTGTGGGTAAACTTATTTACTCAAATGCTGAAGTTAAATCGTTATTCGGCGATTAAGCAAATTCTAAATACCCACAATGCGATGTGAGCAAAAGGAATTGCCCACGTCGGGTTGTGGGCATTTCTACTTTGCGCAAATACCGAATTCTAATTCTCACAGGACATACAAAATGAAGACCTAAATAGAGAGCGGTTGGACCTACCTTTGAGCACTTTTTGCTCAAGACAAACTGATATTGATACAACACGAGAAAACTGTATAACATCCTTAAATCCAGACAGAAGAAATATAAAGGAACACGGAAAGCAAATTAACCCCTGTTTGAGTCGGAGGCAAGGTGGTGGTCAGCACTCCTGATGTTGACCAGGGACGACTAGCTCCTAGAACTGTAATACTGTAGCAGTTGATGTTTGTAGGAACAATGACTCCTAGACTCTTGGCACAAAGCATGGAGTTCTGGACAAGCAGTTCAACCGGTTCCAGGTGACACAAAATAAATTTATTTGCACCGAGGATGTAGACAACCTGATAAGCAACTTAACGTACGCAAAAAGAAGCAATGACGTCAACCGGATTCAAGCAAGTTTTATTGGATGGGTTGTAAAATGAACTGTTTAGTTAAATCGTGAAAATGTATTAAATTGTACTTACAATGCAATTCTATATACCATGTCAGCACATCTTATGCCAACAAGTAAGATACAAATGTAACAAAAACTGTGTTATAGCTGCTGTTTTAAGGTTGCTTTTATAGCGGAAAAACATTATTTTAATGTATGTCTATTTATATTGGGCCTTTTTATAATTTTCCTATCCGGTAATTTGGGTTTTACTTATATTTTTCTATAAGTTATTTAATACTCGTACAAATATGCAAACATAAATTTTATTTTATTTTACCTAGTAATTGTGGATTACATATATTGATTTTTGTGTAAACGGTAGTCAAACCTAATGTTATTTAAATAGATTTAATTGAAAATTAATTCAGACAAATGGAAATTTGCTTAGTCTGCAGATTTGCTGCGGTGGGGGTATTAATTACTGCTACTTTAAGCTATTGAAAAAAATGGATTTTCCCCAGCCTTGTGACCAACTCCAATCGATTTCTTGTTGCCAAATACCCCATAATAAACCAAAAATTAGAAGTCCTCAGATGAAAAAAAAAATTTTCCCTAGACACGCTTTCTTTAGAGTTATAGGATTGCACATTCATCTCCGGAAATGAATTAATAATTGCACATCTAAAAACGTGAGTAATTTTATTGCTTTGAAGCTAGCCACATATTCTTTGTGGTCATGTACTATACTCTGTTATTAATATTCCAGTTAATATTCCATGTAAAATCATTCACTTTTGGACACTAGAATCTATGAGGACCTGCTCTATCCAATTTGTTATTCAAATATAAAACATTGTTGAATGAGCCACTCGGATACCCAATAATATTTTTGTCAGGGACAGTGGCACAAAGGATACTATATTCAACACAATAAGTTTTCCTTGTTTTGGTTGATTTAACAGTTGGCACTTGACACTATTCGAGATCAGTAATTGACATTATTTCATTGCATTCTGATATCTCAATTCAACTAACTTACATTTATTTTGATTTAATGGGATGTTTTCTTTATCAGTAGTCAAACTTGAAATACTATCTTTTGTTCCTACAAAACAACACTTTTCGTAGAAAAAATGGAAATAATAATTCACTGGGTTATGAACGTGTATCAAGGTGTAACATTTTAAATTTTCTAGAGAATTGGAGACAATTTTGAGGAACGTCGATGAATGGAGAAAAAGCTGCATTGAAAACCATTCACAGTTGACTGGTCTAGTGACAGCCACACCTTCACTGACTCCACCACACTCAGAATTGTAGAACGGAAAAATCGACAATATATCTTTTAAATTCTCCAAAATATTTAGGAATAACATAACTTATTTTATTAAATACTTATTTAAGTAAACAATCTTTCTAATATACAGTAATCAGTTTCCAGTTTTTTGTTTGTTTTATAGGAAATGTTCTTGAAAATGTTCTTTCTTTAAGTACTGTATTAGCAATTCATACTTGTATTCATTGTTATATATCAGCATATACCAGTAAAAGGTAATAACTTATGATGATATTTTCTTTATAATTGTTTTCTTAGAGATTACTTAAATCTTGAAAGTAATTTGTTTGCCTACTTTTACTAGCTCACTACACTTTTACAACATTTACTGTAGTTAAATGTTATCAACTCAGCAATAATTTGTGTGTAATGATGCATGAAAATATAATATGTCAAATTTAAGACAGCGTGAGTCAGTTGCTTGGCTAGAAGCTGAAAGAGGAACAAGAAGTAAAAGTAGTCAAAGTTAAAAACCAGCAATTTTGGGGGCTAGTTAAAAATTGTAAAATCTTTATGAGGTGAATATAGAATGTGTATGAAATATGCTGTATTGAAGTTTGATATTATCTTTGGTTTTTCATACAATGACAATTGATGGGGATCAAAAGATGCTGCAGTTACTAGTTTTCCTTTTAGATTAGCATGTTTAAAATATGGGTTTATAAGAAAGGGAACAGTAGTTCAGTTGGTGGCTCTGGCTCAGTTAAACCATAGATTACTCCTTTTATCTATGGTTAAACTAAGTTTACTCTAAAACTGGCAAACAAATAACTTAGAAACAGAATTTCTATAGACAAATCTGGCTTCTTTCTATCTTGCATTGATTCAGCTTGGCACATGCTTTGCTCATTACACCCTTACAAATTTATGAGATATGTCTGAATTGAAGGTGAATACAAGGTTGAAACAGGATTAAAATTGCAAAAAATGCAAAGCATTGGTCAAAAACTAATTATAAGGTTTGTACTGTACTAATTTTGAAGTTTAAAAACAAAATCTCACCTTTGTGAGCTGAGAACATCCGAGCAGCCTCTGAAACAGTGAATGATAAAGTTAACATTTAGTCAGGCTAGGGTATGGAAGTCACACATACTCCGTATTAGTTACAGTCATAATCTAAAATGTGACCTTAAATTAGGGGTTGGATAGTAATATGTTGTGTGTTTGTTTACAGCTCTAATGAGTTTTGTGATGGCTTTTTGTACCTCAATTACGGGCAATGTAACCTTACGATGTAGCTTTACCTCTAAAACGGAAGTATTAATAGTAAATAGTGAACTATATTCATCTTCTAGTTTTATATTAGCCAAGCCGAAACCACCTGATACTTGAACAACAAATATCTAACTAAGTGACATTACGAAGATATTCAAACTATAGTGAGTTTACCGAGAATTTCATTTCTCACAGCTTGTGTTGTGTGCATCGCAGGGAAAATATACAAATACTGTTAAATATATTTTCCTATAGATGTGCAGAATCCCTTTATTAGGCTAAAAAATAAGCACAAAAATTAATTTAAATTACAAAAAATAAGATGGGCCTTTTGGGTGACGAAATAACAACAAAATATAAACAGAAAATCGAAACAAATAGAATAAATTCCAATCACAAGTTTTATTTACAGGGTGGGGTGAAAATAAAGAAGTATATACATTTCATATTTTTGGTTGAGTTTTCGACCACTAAACGACCTCTATAGTTATTATTATTACATTTGTGTACGTGCTATTTGTGGCTGTTTGCCAGTGAAAAATGAGTTTGTATGTGTAAAGTCTCTAACCAACCCGGATTCACAACTTCTCATACCCCAGTTTTATGACAAAATCAATTTTTGAACAGTTTCTTCACCAGTTTAGAATTTCTAAAACTAACTAAATAAAACTCGATCGGATAGCTGCTTAACGTTTTTGTTATATTGTTGTATTCCATATATTTACTATACTGGGCTTGTTCTTCTTGTCAAGGGATCAGTTTTAAGTTTCCATTTAAGGATACGGAAATTTTAACCATACAATCCGTATGGTAATTAGATACTCTTAAACACAGGATTTTGAGTACAAGATGAATTTCACATAAACACATATAGTCCAGGCAAATTAGATCAAATATAGGGTGTGCTCCCCAAAAAATCGTCTAAAGCTGGAAAGTGTTTTAATACCTTTTGGGGGTCCCAAATAAGACTCCTGTGAGTTTGCGACGGATTCTGACGTCTGCTTAAGTCTTGGGAGTCGAAAAACTATGAAAATTTTGCACTTTTTTCAGTTTTTCGCTTAGAACTCCTAAATAACGAATCCTAAGGAAAATGTTGTTCAAAGGTGTCTTTTAGTGCATTAAATTCCGCGTCGATTGATGTTAAATACGTCAAAATCGGCCGAGCCGTTTAGCCGCTGTAGCTTTTCAAAGTTGGGATATTTTCAATAACATGGCCAAAAGGTTGATTATTGACCAGTTTTCGGCTTACAACTCCTAAACGACGCATGCTATACAAAAATGCACCTGTAGTTTGTTTGGAAAACACAAAATTCTGCGTATGATGTTTTTTTTATTAATCAATAACGGCAATTGATTGTTACCTACTTTGTATGGTCGCCATTTCATTGAAAAAGTATTAAAGTTAAAGTTGGGAAATTTTACTAAAATTTGTAACAACATAGATCCTGTCCTTAAATGGATTATGAATTATTAGATAGTGGTTTATTCCATGATTGTCATCCAGAGGTTTATCTAATAAGGTGTGATGAGAGTAAGACACCCTATGTAATTTTAAGTCTAATATTTTTGTCTGAGGTCTCGAAAATTCTAGTATTCATATCCCAACCACCCAGTATTCAGGGTGAGTTTTAATTGTCCCCCTCCAAATTTTTTCTCCATTTTTTCGAAGATCGATCCCAGACTACTTCCAAACATTGTTGGGTAGTAAGTACTTCATTTTGACAAGGTGGTTATTTCCGGCCGCCATCTTGGATCCGCCATATTGGATCCAAAATATTTTTTTCAAATTTAAAGGTGGGGTTGTGACCCAATATTTCGAACTAGATTTTTACCCTAATTACAATGCCACAAACCGTTTTTAACAATCTTGATTCATTCTAAAGTTATGGGGGCTTTTTAAAACTTTATTTTTACCCCATGTTAACATTGTGCATGTACAAACTAAGACCATAATCTCAAAATAGTGCTAGATAAAGATAAGTATACACTACCAGTCATTGTCAACCTATTTTCACTTGGTTATGACCGATGTATTTTTATCGGCCGCCATCTGAGATCCGCCATTTTGAAATGTGATAAATTATTTTATATGTGAAGGGGGTGTTGTGACCCATAATTTCGATCTATATTTTTAAGCTTAAGTCAATGCCGCAATCCATTTTTTTTACCAAGTTTTATTTATCAAATATTGCAATTTTATTTGTTAAAAATGTCTATATTTCAAAATCAAAATATGAAAATGAAAAACGGATCATGGAATTGAGTTTAACTTAAAAAAGTAAGTAATACAATGACTGGTAGTGTATACTTATCTTTATCTAGCACTATTTTGAGATTATGGTCTTAGTTTGTACATGCACAATGTTAACATGGGGTAAAAATAAAGTTTTAAAAAGCCCCCATAACTTTAGAATGAATCAAGATTGTTAAAAACGGTTTGTGGCATTGTAATTAGGGTAAAAATCTAGTTCGAAATATTGGGTCACAACCCCACCTTTAAATTTGAAAAAAATATTTTGGATCCAATATGGCGGATCCAAGATGGCGGCCGGAAATAACCACATTGTCAAAATGAAGTACTTACTACCCAACAATGTTTGGAAGTGGTCTGGGATTGATATTCGAAAAAATGGAGAAAAATGTTGGAGGGGGACAATTAAAACTCACCCTGTATAATGGGTGGTTGGGATATGAATACTAGAATTTTCGAGACCTCAGACAAAAATATTAGACTTAAAATTACATAGGGTGTCTTACTCTCATCACACCTTATTAGATAAACCTCTGGATGACAATCATGGAATAAACCACTATCTAATAATTTAAATCCATTTAAGGACAGGATCTATGTTGTTACAAATTTTAGTAAAATTTCCCAACTTTAACTTTAATACTTTTTTAATGAAATGGCGACCATACAAAGTAGGTAACAATCAATTGCCGTTATTGATTAAAAAAAAAAAAATTAATACGCAGAATTTTGTGTTTTCCAAACAAACTACAGGTGCATTTTTGTATAGCATGCGTCGTTTAGGAGTTGTAAGCCGAAAACTGGTCAATAATCAACCTTTTGGCCATGTTATTGAAAATATCCCAACTTTGAAAAGCTACAGCGGCTAAACGGCTCGGCCGATTTTGACGTATTTAACATCAATCGACGCGGAATTTAATGCACTAAAAGACACCTTTGAACAACATTTTCCTTAGGATTCGTTATTTAGGAGTTCTAAGCGAAAAACTGAAAAAAGTGCAAAATTTTCATAGTTTTTCGACTCCCAAGACTTAAGCAGACGTCAGAATCCGTCGCAAACTCACAGGAGTCTTATTTGGGACCCCCAAAAGGTATTAAAACACTTTCCAGCTTTAGACGATTTTTTGGGGAGCATATGTCTAATTTGCCTGGGCTAATACACTTCGTCTATTGTTGGCCAAATAACAAATGATCATGTACAAGTAGCACTTGGGATTTAAGTTTTTAAAATAAGTGGTTAAAATCTACGAGATAAAAGATAAAATGCAGGTGTTCCAAGACCCTACTAATTTCAGTGTTGTAGCACAAACTGCACTGGAAGAATATAGTCTGTGGTTGTAGAGCAAGTTCAGGCGTCAACCAGTCAATATAGCTACAGCAGAGTGTTGGGGACATTGCATAAACATTCTGATGAAGGCTCTACCACTGTTACCGTAAACGCACAAAAGCATCGCGCGATCGAAACGTATCAACGTGATCGTTGATTTGTAACATATCTTGTCGATACACTAACCCAAGGTAAATCTCAGCTATCAATACACACGCTCGCCATTGATTACAACTCCCAGAGCTCCATTATCTGACCTTCATCTGTCCGTTAACAATATGTTTGATAGTGGTAGACTCAGGCTCTACAATTTACGTTTCACCTCTCTATACATTCATTGTTGTGATTATTTTGTTAATTTGTTGATTAATCTATCCTCAAATCCGTTCATCCATTTAACCTAGGATGTTACTGAAGTAATTCGTCTACTATAACTATATTGCAGTTATAATTAAAAGTTGCCTAACTCCTCTCTACATCAACCGAGTTACAGTTTCCATTTTCGCAATCTATATACTAAATACAATGAAGGTTTTCCCTGCTACATACCTTTTTCATACTTAACAGTTTTTTATATTATTTAGGCGTAATTTTAAAGCTTATAGTATAGCGCAGTGATGAATGGTGACTGAAATGGCCATTTCCTTTAGGGTGTTATGGCCTTATCGTTTTAATTATTTTTAGCGTTTTATTTATTTTTTTACTAAAAAATAAGTTATTACACTAGCTGGGTGGAAACTGCTTCCACAAATTTACATTAAAATGTGCTAACCTTTCAAACCATATTGGCTTTGGTCAATCTTGCCAATCCTATAAAAAGATACATTAAGATCAGTGAAATATATAAAAGTCAATTACAATCCATACCATCCACTATAAGCCTTCTAATTACTATAACTTATCAGTTTGAATTCAATAACCTAACTTTTAATAAATTAAGAAATCTAAATTTATTTTTTTCATAATACGATTAAGATGAACTAGTAGCTCCTAGGTGTGATACAGTCTATTTTTGGAGTTGGACTGAACTAAATGAAGGTGGGTGGCATAGGTACAGAAACTGGAGCTGAAGGGGAGAGAGAGAGAGAGAGGGAGATGGAGAGAGAGAGAGAGAGAGAGGTGTCGTTTATCACTCTCTGTCTCTTCTATCCAAATGTACGTTCCAACGGCGTGCCCAGCATTGCTTGCTTGTCATTTATCATTTGTCAAAATGTTGTGTTGTTTTAAAACACAGTGTGT